GATAATAGACTCAAATTTCATACACATATACAACAAATTTCTAAGAAAATTTCCAAGACTGTAGGCATACTATCGAAGATACGGTACTATGCTCCACAGTCAGCCCTCCTGGCCCTATATCACTCTCTTATTTACCCCTATCTCACCTATGGAATTTGTGCATGGGGCTCAACAACAAGTAACCATCTCAGACCACTAATTACCCAACAAAAGGCTGCAGTTAGAATGATAACAAATTCTCACTATAGGCAGCACACTCCACCAATATTCAATACACTAAACCTATTCACCATACAAAACATTCATACTTATTACTGCACCTATTACATACATAGAACACTTAACTCTGATATTAACCCTCCCCTCAACATCTCCTTGCCAACCTCAACAGAACACATGACCATAACACAAGGCACAGATCACTCTTTGATGTTCCTCGTGTCCATCTCCCCACTATGCAAAAACTCAATGCACATAAAAGGCCCTAAAATCTGGAACTCATTACCTGTAAATATAAAAGAAACACTACCTGTTTATAAATTCAAGTCTCTTCTCAAAGATCACTTACTCACCCAAAACCAAATAAATACTGAATAACTGAACCTTATAAATTGTATATCTTAAATATTTCTCACAATTATATCACATAAATGTTAAACCTAAAACCCAATCTAACTTTATTATTTTTTGAATACACTACCTAACAGAATACTCCATTCTACTGAATGTACAACAATGCATACAACCATATGACCTGTCTTTGTAATACTCACTTGTGCTTTATAGTAATCTGTTTACATTAAAGTTTTATCACCGATGTCATCATTGCTTAGTTCATCTTAAGTTAATTTTAAGCCAGCCCGTAATGCTATGCATAGTATAAGTGGCTTTGGCATACTGCTCTTTTCTGTATTTTTTTGTACCTCTGTATGTGTGCACAAATTTTTAAATAAATAAATAAATAAATAAATAAATAAAGAATGCATTAGACAGGGGTGGGCTTTGAAATAAGCTTAGGCAGGACAAGAGCCCTTACTTAGCCTGTAAATTCAATGGCTTCAAAAAATTATCAAATGACAACATAATTAGAGTACAATACTAAAAATTTCCTAATTGGCCATACCACATTGAACACACCGCTTCTTGCCTGATCAGCGAAGTTAAACAACATTGGGATTGGCTAGTACTTGGATGGGTGATTGCCTGGGAAAACCAAATGTTGTTGGCATTAGTCTTTTTTTGTCTTCCTTTGCAGATGACACCTGAATTTTCATGACAGTATCATCCATTGAAGACACTGTAAGTCTCCAAGCGGATGTCAACTAATCTGTAAATGGGCCACAGAAAACAATATGAGGTTCAATGAAGATAAATTTCAATTACTTTGCTATGGAAAACTTGAGGAAATTAAAGCTGTATCGGAGTATAAAACAAATTCCAGCCACAATAGAGTGAAAAACTAATGTGAAGAACCTGGGAGTGATAATGTCAGAGGATCTCACTTTCAAAAATCACAACAATGTATCTACCACATCTACTAGGAAAATGATAGGATGGATAATGAGAACCTTCTAAACTCAGGATGCCAAGCCCATGATGAATCTCTTCCACAAAATTGCAGACCTGGAGAATATACAGAGAAATTTCACGGCATGTATGAGTACTATAAAGCACCTAAATTGCTGGGAATGGTTGAAATCCCTTGATTTGTACTCCCTGGAATGCAGGGAAGAAAGATGCATACTCATATACACTTGGAAAATCCTAGAGGGACTAGTCCCAAATCTGCACACGATAATCACTGGTTTAGAAAGACACGTAAGCAAACACTATAACATATTTATTAGAAAACGTTTCGGTCCTGGGACCTTGATCACTTCTAACATACAGAGGTAGAAAGACATTATATATATAGGCGGAGAGTGAGATGTGACACACGTGACCTGAGGAATGTCATAAGAACAAAGAATGGAGGAACACTGTAGAAGGCCTACTGGCCCATGCGAGGCAGGTCCTTATCAAAACAACCTCTACCTATGATGAGGAAACCACGACCTCCCTTTACCTCTTCTAGATTTCATCAATCTAGTGGAACTTTGTGTTAATTTCAACTTCTTCAAGTATCAGGACAACTGTTACAAACAGTGCTTTGGGATGGCAATGGGCAGTCCGCTCAGTGCTGTGCTTGCCAACCTCTTCATGGAAAACCTGGAGACAGAGAAATTCAGCACCCTCATTCCCAACACCGTTACCTGGCTAAGATATGTTGATGATATATTGGTTTTCTATCCGAGACGTCTCAATATCCAGGCCCTTCTCAACAAGATCAATGCAGTTGAACCATCAATAAAGTTTACACTTGAACTCGAAAATGATGGCAAACTTCCTTTCCTCGATGTTCTACTGTGCAGATCTCCCGACAGTGACAAACTTCTCTTCAAAGTGTATAGAAAACCTACCAACAAGGACGATCTTATACACTTCTATTCACACCAAGACACCCGCACTAAAAGAGGAGTCCTCATTGGCTTCTTCTTGAGAGCACTTCGCATCTCCAGCCCTTGTTTTCTAGAAGAAGAATGCACTTACATAACACAAGCCTTTACACGTCTTCAGTTCCCATCTTTCTTCATCCGAGATTGCAGACTCAAGGCACAAGCTATCCTCAACAAACCGCCCATGGAACAGCCCCCTAAACAGTTCATAGTACTCCCATGTGGCGATGTTGCCACGAATACTCGCCGGGCACTTGCTATGAGTAACATCAACGTTTCCACCATAAACACATCATCTATCAAAGACCTCGCTAAGAAACGCAGCCACACACCTCTAACTTCTACAGCAGGCGTCTACACTATCCCTTGTGGGTTCTGTCCCAAGAAATATGTAGGCGAGACAGGCAGAGATCTTGCAGTCCGCCTGAATGAGCATCGAAATGCCTCTAACAGAGACGATGTAAGGTACGCCTGTGTCCTCCACAGAGACTCCATGGGGCATTTGATGAACTGGAACGAGGCACAACTCGTTCTCACCGAACCAGACCTCAGATGCCGACGGTACCTAGAAGCCTCACTAATCGCCGTCACCGACACTATAGAATGCAACACTGGAAACTACAAAATTTCAAAAACATTGGCATACATGGTACTTATTAAGCAGCACCAACCCAACAACACAGGAGTCACATGATTTCATCGTCTACCCGTCCTCATCATAGGTAGAGGTTGTTTTGATAAGGACCTGCCTCGCATGGGCCAGTAGGCCTTCTACAGTGTTCCTCCATTCTTTGTTCTTATGACATTCCTCAGGTCACGTGTGTCACATCTCACTCTCCGCCTATATATATAATGTCTTTCTACCTCTGTATGTTAGAAGTGATCAAGGTCCCAGGACCGAAACGTTTTCTAATAAATATGTTAGTGTTTGCTTACGTGTCTTTCTAAACCAACTTGTCGGTATTTATTACCAAGGTTTATACCACGATAATCACTCCCTGTGAAAGCAAAAGATTTGACAGGAGATGTAACATCCCCACATTGAAAAGCAGGGGTGCCATGAGCATTCTAGGAGAAAACACAATAAGTGTTAGGGGCTCAAGACTGCTCAGCTGCCTCCCAGCATACATAAGGAGGATTACCAATAGATCCCTGGCTGTCTTCAAGAAGGCACGGGACAGGCATCTAAAGTCGGTATGATACTAGTTGGGCTGTAGCTCGTATGTCGGTTTACATGTGGCCAGCAGTAACAGCCTAGTTGATCAGGCCCTGATCCACCATGAGCCCTGGTCATGGACTGGGCTGCTGGGGCATTGACCCCCAAAACCCTCTCTAGGTATACTCCAGGTAATCCTGGAAATACTGGTTTGGCAGTAGAATTGTAGATGAGTGGGACAAACTGCCAGGTAATGTCATTGAGGCTAGAACTTTGGGTAGCTTTAAATATAGATTAGACAGGAACATGAGTGGGTGTGGGTGAGTGAGAGAGACCTCCAGTAAGCCTTCTGCAGTGTGTATGTGATATAAAGAAATTAATTTAAATTTATGTTAAATTAAAATTAAGAGTATGTAGATGCAGAATAGTTACTGCAGTAAACAGAATTGAAAAAGCTCAAGCAACACATGAGTTTCAGAATTCGGGAATTTCTTATTCTGTATATTCGTGGGAAAGTGCTAACTCTAAGGGTTATAAGTGCCTGGGGAATGGGAGGTAATCAGGTTTGATTGAAGACTGAGGAGGATAGCAATTCTGTTCATCAGGAGTCCTTCACCCACACCAAGTACTTAGCCATGAAAATAAGTTTCACTCTGTTCCCCAACCATTCCAAATGTTGATTGACTGCATAGTTTTTCAATGTCTTCCAGCACTAGTCTTCATGTTTCTTATTACTACTGTTCTGTAATTAAACACTTGGATAGTTAGCAGGTTATGTACCAGTGTGTAACTTCATGCTGCCCTGAAGAGTAAGATGTATAGGCAACATTAGGAATCTATATAGATAAAATGTTATGCCTTCACTGCAGGCCTCATCAGTTAATTACGGAGACAGTTGCACTGGTGGAAGCTGTAAGTAGATGAAGGTGAGAAAAAGCTGGTGGAAGTAAAAGTAACTCTCTACTTCGTCTTCCACCAGTGCTGATGTCTCTGTAATTGACTGATGAAGCCTGCAGTGCAGGCAAAATGTTTCATCAATAAAGACTTTAGTGTTGCTCATGTATTTTACTCTTCAACTTGTTGGTACAGTATTATACACCATTTGTAACATTCATGCTGCCTTAATGTAAATGTTATTTGCTTTCTAAGCTTAACATTCCTTTCTTCAAGCAAGGGATGTCTTCTCCTATTATAGAATGTTAATGTTAAAACTGTTGATAAGAAAGTATTTAAATGTACAGGAAGGGAGTTTCATTATCTTTCATATCATTAACATATTGTAATAAAAAAATCACTAAACCCATATGGGCCATTATTTCACTAATAATTGTTATCTTTCATTACTACAGGTGCTCTGGCAGCATTCGGTGTGGGATACCTGCATCTTAACTGGGAATATTTTGGAGAGGGAACTTTGGCAATTATTTCTTTGATTGATGGCCTTCTTTTATTCTTCATGGGTCTCACATCATCAATCGCAGTGGGTTATATCAACTACATTGTCTTCAGAGTTTCCTATCAAGTTTTAATCACAGTTGCTAGGTAAGTTAGTCTTCCACATGAAACTGATATTTTGCTCTTTATGTAGGTAGTAGGTTGGTAGACAGCAACCGTCCAGGGAGGTACTACCGTCCTGCTAAGTGAGTGTAAAACAGAAACCTGTAATTGTTTTACATGATGGTATGATTGCTGGTGTCTTTTTTCTGTCTCATAAACATGTAAGATTTCAGTACCGGTACGTCTTGCTACTTCTTACACTTAGGTCACACTACACATACATGTACAAACATATATATATACACACCCCTCTGGGTTTTCTTCTATTTTCTTTCTAGTTCTTATTCTTGTTTATTTCCTCTTATCTCCATGGGGAAGTGGAACAGAATTCTTCCTCCGTAAGCCATGCATGTTGTAAGAGGTGACTAAAATGCCGGGAGCAAGGGGCTAGTAACCCCTTCTCCTATATAAATTACTAGATTTTAAAAGAGAAACTTTCGTTTTTCTTTTTAGGCCACCCTGCCTTGGTGGGATACAGCAAGTTTGTTGAGAAAAAAAAAAAAGTCAGCCACACAGTTTGATTATTTTGTAGATATTAATTAACACTTCTGCTCAATAACTTCTTACCAACTGTGTAATCTTTGTAATCATTCTTGCTTGTATCATGACCTGTACTGTTTCTTAATTTACAGAAAGGTCTTGCATAACATGTTTTAAATAAAATACTCCATCTTGACAGAGTGTATGTGCCATGAAATTTTTTGAAAGGTGGCTCAGGGTGGAAAATGTTTCTCTTCACAGATTTCTACACCTAGGGACAGCTGGCTGTTGACTCTAAATACACAGCATTCGGTAGTGCCTCTATAAACCCTCAGCAAATGGCCCACAGCCATAAGCTGATAAAACATAAAAAGATGGGAACTTCTGCGGTAGCCTTGGTATTATTGTGGACGTCTTGCTCTTGCCTGAGTATAGGCGATAAATTTCCACCAATTGCTCTGGGGTACTTGCCCTCATCTTATTTTGCCCATTAGGCACATTACAGGAGGGACACCACTCATCAGCTACATTTTTTCCACTGAATATTTACCTGGTAATGGTTTTGGTAGAAAGCCAGTTGCTGAACTTGGGTGAAGATATAGGTGTCCCGCTCTGCTAGTGCTTAGACAGGGAAAAACACCTGGCCTAATTGGGAACCTTGTTGTTTCTGCTTCTTTCTGCAAATGGAACTGCTATTCCCTTATCTTTCATCACCTAGCTCTTGGGAACTTATGTGTCAGCCTTGGTGTGTGGGCGTCTTGCTCTCTCCTGTGCATTGATGACTAATTTTCCTGTGGGATGCTTGTCCTTATCTTGTTCTTCCTATGGGCACATTATAAGAGGGGCACTATTTTTTCACTCTGCGGATATTTATTTAATAGTTTTGGAGGGAAGCTGGTTACTGAACTCAGGTGAGTATGTAGGTGTCCTCTGCTGGGGCTTAGGCAGTAGGGCCCATCTGGCCTAATTGGGAAATTTTAGTTTATTTTTTCACAAAGGGAACTCCTGTTCCCTTTTCTTTCATTGCTCAGCTTTGGGTTATACAGTATTTCTTCCTCATACATTGAAAAGTGGCTTGATATCTCCAAACACATATTTATCGATGAGCAAGAGGAACAAGAAATTTAAAGTATGATAAAAGTCTTGCCTGATCCACTATGAGGCCTGGTCATGAACCAGGCCATGGGGGGCATTGACCCCGGGAACACACTCCAGGTTTACTATTATAAATGAGAAGTGCAAGGGAGGGTGGGGCTCGAGGGTTTCAGTCTCCCAAAATTCCCCCTAAATAAAAATAGTAATAATAACCTACTTCAGAACAAATCTTCTAGCTATCCCTCTTCCAACAAGATAGCCACCCCAAAGCCTCCCAGTCTAGAAATTCTGATTGCACCCCTGGAAACATGTAGTGAAATGTACAAGAAATATCAGCAATGAAACAGACGATCCACAGCTGTCTACTATTAGACTGTGTTACATAACCATCTTCTAATGTATATACTATATATCAACAAGTAAGAGCAGTAAAGTATTTTAGGTAGGTAATATTCTTTCATGTTAGTTTTTAGCATAAAAATCTCCAAATGCATATTCATACTGTGTATCAAAATGCAAGAGTAACAAAGAATTTCAGGTAGGGTAATATTCTTTCATGATATTGTAAACTAATAAGAGTGTAGTAGTAATAGTAATAGTGGTATGTGTGATGTTTACAGAACACTTTGACAGAGATGAAATTAACAACTAATAAGAGGTATGAACATGAATAAAACACAATACAACAACTAATAAGAGGTATGAACATGAATAAAACACAATACAAATAAATATTGCAATACTAAGTTACAGTAACCAGCAGCAGTTAATAACGCCATTAAATAATTAATGACAAAAGACTTCCCTAAAAGTTCCCAGAGATCCCTACAGGCACCCTAGCAATTATAAAAGCCGTGACAAAAATGGAAAGGACTAGGGCATAGGTAAACCGTTAAAATGCGTTCCACAGGCAGTGGCACAACATGAGCTACACAGAGGGAAGGGCAGGAGCACTTGCAGACAGGTGGCTTTGGATGAGGTGTGTGCCCAATCCTCAGTTGATAGAGATTCATCTAAAAATGACGATTCCCATTGGAGGAGAAGGCCAAACACCCACATCTTGCCGAACCTTGCATAACTACACCTAGTCTCTAGGGCCCACAGGGTCGAAAACTGAAAAGTGTGTGTATTAAATTAATGATAGTTGCTGGAAGTGCATTAGCCTTATCCATTTTCTCTAGGAGAAACACCTTATCTATTTTCTTTGAAATGAATACAGTATACTGCTTCAAACACAAGTTTCCCCTGGACCTTATGTAAATAAATTTATTTAGAAAGTAACTTTATATTTAGGTTTTGTGTACATATCATGTATTTCTAGATCAATTAGTAATGAAATCTACAATGTAAGTTATTAAAACTGTTATTTTTGATGAAATAAGACATTTATAATAAATTGTTTGGTTTTTCTTGTAGGTGTCAAGAATCTAAGGGTTTGGGATATTGACAGTTTGGAGGGACTTCTAAACTGTCATATCTGAGCACCTCTGCATAGACAGTGATTATATGTGAGTGAGGTGAAAGTGTTGAATGATGATGAAAGTATTTTCTTGTTGGGGATTTTCTTTTTGGGGTCACCCTGCCTCGGTGGGAGACGGCCAACTTGTTAAAAAAAAAAAATATTCGTATTAAATAGAACAAGATTACATAAATCATTGACTTTAGGAACTTAATCCTCACATTATGTGAGATTTAACTGCATTCCTTTTGCCAAACTTTATTTATTTATTTATTTATTTATTTATTTATAATTTGAGCACACTTACAGAGGTACAAAAAAAAATACAGATAAGAGCAGCATGCCAAAGCCACTTATACTATGCATAGCATTACGGGCTGGCTTAAAATTAACTTAAGATTAACTAAGCAATGATGAAATCAGTGAAAAACATTAATGTAAACTGATTACTATAAAGCACAAGTGAGTATTACAAATACAGGTCATATGGTTGCATGCATTGTTGTAAATTCAGTAGAATGGAGTATTCTGTTAGGTAGTGAATTTAAAAAATAATAAAGTTAGATTGGGTTTTAGGTTTAACATTTATGTGATATAATTGTGAGAAAATTTAAGATATACAATTTATAAGGTTCAGTTATTCAGTATTTATTTGGTTTTGGGTGAGTAAGTGATCTTTGAGAAGAGACTTGAATTTATAAACAGGTAGTGTTTCTTTTATATTTACAGGTAATGAATTCCAGATTTTAGGGCCTTTTATGTGCATTGAGTTTTTGCATAGCGTGAGATGGACACGAGGAATATCAAAGAGTGATCTGTGCCTTGTGTTAGGGTCATGTGTTCTGTTGAGGTTGGCAAGGAGATGTTTGAGGGGAGGGTTAATATCAGAGTTGAGTGTTCTATGTATGTAATAGGTGCAGTAATAAGTATGGATGTTTTGTATGGTGAGTAGGTTGAGTGTATTGAATATTGGTGGAGTGTGCTGCCTGTAGTGAGAATTTGTTATCATTCTAACTGCAGCCTTTTGTTGGGTAATTAGTGGTCTGAGATGGTTACTTGTTGTTGAGCCCCATGCACAAATTCCATAGGGAGATAGGGGTAAATAAGAGAGTGATATAGGGCCAGGAGGGCTGACTGTGGAGCATAGTACCGTATCTTCGATAGTATGCCTACAGTCTTGGAAATTTTCTTAGAAATTTGTTGTATATGTGTATGAAATTTGAGTCTATTATCAAGGTGGATTCCTAAGAATTTTCCCTCTGTAGCTTTGTAAATAGGTGATCCGTTTATCATTATGTTAAGAGGGACATCTGTAGCTCTGTTACCAAACTGAATGAAGTAGGTTTTGTCAATGTTTAGTGTAAGAACAACAACAACAACAACAAACATGGCTGACTCCCCCTCCAACTCCACTCCCTTCAAAGGATTATCCATGATAACTCAGGTACGTTATTCCTGACAATATCAAGGACTACATCGTTGCTCTAGAAAATGAAATCAAAGATATCAAAGCAGCACTCGAGCGACGAGATTCCAAGATAACCAACCTCGAGAATAAGATCCAAAACCTTGAAGAGAAGATTACATCGGGAAGTGTTGATACAGAAAATACTCTAAAAGCAGCTATAGCCAGTCACACTGAACAAATAACAACAATAAATATGAAGGTTGAAGAAGCAATAAAGGGACTGGAATCTGAACATGCACACTCGACTAAATGAATACCTTGATTTCCAAGACGACAAAACTGAACAAGATAAGTTGTCTGATGCAGTTATAATAAACAGTCCACACATTCCTATGACATAACACAAGCTCAGTGCAAAGAAACTGCTGTCAGGATAATACAGGACCACGTACAAGTCATCGTGCAAAACAATGAAATCAAAGAAACACGTTTGTTAGGAAAACCAGGAAGTAAACACAGTATAATGATCCGACTTCATTCATACGATAAAAGAAAGGACCTAATTAAATCAGCAATTACAATGAAAAATGGAGTGTACATAAATGAGTGTCTAACAAAAAAAACGTCAAAACCTTCTGTTCAGCTGAGAAAACTTAAACAGGAAAACAAAATACATCAGTGTTTCACGCGAGATGGGAAAATACTAGTAAGGAAAAACATCAACAGGACAACAATATACCATCTCAAACGAACATGATTTCTCTACCTTCCTTAGAAAAGCTGACATTTCTGTAACAGATTAAATAAGTGCCCTTAATACATATATACGTGTGGTGCATATAGTGTACGTTACTATCATATTGTACATTATTATTTTTATTATTTTTCATCACTAGCTAATGCCAACTACCTCCAATACTCTATAACTTTCTTACTGCTATTAATTGCTCATAATTTTAAATTAAAAGTCAAATCTTACTCCAAATTAATAATATTCATTTTTTCTTACCTGTCCATTTAATTTTGTTTATCACTACTTGTTTTTTTTAGTCACTTTACATTGTATATTCAATTAGTGTATATTCCAATTACTTTTTTGCAAGTACCAAAACTATCTTTTGCTAGCTAGTACCAACTACCTCATTTTTTTTTACTTTTATTGTGCAATAAACTGCTCAATTTATCTAATATTACAAATCAGATCTTACTCCTAAACCAATATTATTTCATAGTGACCATCTGTCCATTTAACTTTGTTTACCATTACTTAATTTTAGTCCCTTATATATTTTCTCCTTTATTTTAGCTTTATATAACTACCCTAGCTTATACATTCACAATTGTTAAAATAATCAAGGTGCTATTCTCAGGTGCTAAAGTAAAAACAAGTTCACAATTTTGCATTATATTCCAAAGCTCATTTATTTTTATAGTACTACCTACTATCATATTCCCAAGCTCCATTATTTGATCATCACTTTATTTGTACTAGTCCCTTTTATATTGTCTCCTTTATTTTAGCTTAAAAAAAAAAAAAAAAAAAAAAAAAACTACCTTAGCTCATTATTTTACATTTGTTAAATAATTCAGGTGCTATTTTTTAGCTTAAGACTATTTACTTTGTTTTATACTTAATTCTAACTATAGATTCACTACAAATCTTATGATTACAAGCATTGATCCAGATACCAACCTCTTATTTAATGACTTAAATGAATCAAACAGTTACTGTAATTACTACACTGCAGAACAATCAAAGGCACTTCTCAGTGCCAACAACACATAACTATCTTTAACTACAAATCAGATCTTTAAGCAAGCATTACGATGACCTCATAGCATTACTAAATTCCTTACATGCCAATATGTCCATCATTACACTAACTGAAACCTGGCTAAAGCCTGATACTACAGATGTCTATACCATTCCTGGTTACACAGCCATACACAACTGTAGGCCAGACCAAAAAGGGGGGTGGCACAGCCATATACTACTCAGACCAACTAGAATGTATCACTAATACTTGCACAAGAGTTTGAACATGGGGAATATATAATAGCAAATTCAAATCCAAATACCTACGAAAACCTCTCACATTGATAAACATCTACAGAGTTCCACAGTCAAACATTAGCCAATTTAGTCAAAACCTAGGAAGTATGATAACTGATGCACGCATGAACAAAGATCACTTACTACTCTCAGGTGACTTCAATATAAATCTCCTGCAAGACCCGGACCCACACGTTACTGAATTCACAAACACAATGAGTAACTGTAGTTGCTACCAACAGTAACAAAACCTACAAGAGTTACAGAGACTAGTGTTTCCCTACTTGACCACATCTGGACCAACACCATATCCCCTTTAAAATCAGGCATAATTACAGATAATACCACAGACCACTACCCTACTTTCCTCATAACAACTCTTGTAAATTACCCCAAGACACTACTAAAGTCACCTTCAGACTTCACAATGAGGCAGCCATTAATAACTTCACAACAGCATTAGCAAACATTGATTGGCACACTGAGCTAGAAATCAATACAGATATTGACGAATGTATTAATAATTTTCTAAAAAAGACTCAATACCTCTATAACAAGCACTGCCCTAAAAAAACTAAGCAGATGACAGCTAAGAGATGAACAGTCCCTGGCTAACACCCAGCATTCTCAAATCCATAAATACAAAACACCAATATGAAAAACAGTACAGAATGGGTCACATAACCAGAGACCAAACAAAACGTTACTCGTCAATCCTAACCAGCCTGATAAGAAGGGCAAAAAAATTGTATTATGAGAACAGATTATCCCAAATTACGAGGTGATATAAAAAAGACCTGGAAAACCCTATCAGAAATTCTGGGAACAAAAAAGATATCACGAAATAGCGAAATAAAATTAGCAAAATCAGATGAACCCCAACTCCCACCAACAGAAACAGCAAACAGACTCAATGATTTCTTCTCCACTATAGGACAAAACCTTGCCAATAAAATCCCAAGCTCAGATACCCCACCAAATGACTACCTCACCGGCAACTACCCGAACACACTGTTCCTAGCTCCGACTAACCCATACGAAGTCTCCCTTATTATCAACGCACTAAAAAACAAGGCAGGAGATTTAAATACCTTACCACCCTTTATATACAAAAAAGTGTCACAAGTGCTATCACCAATCATTGCAACACACTCTTTAACAAATCCATTGAATCCTCCACCTTCCCTACAGTACTCAAAATAGCAAGGGTCCCCCCCGATCCACAAAGGAGGAGACCAAACAGAGTTGAATAACTATAGGCCAATATCCAACTTACACCCTCTCTCAAAAATCTTCGAAAAATTAATTCATAACGAATCTACTCCTACCTTATCTCCCAAAACATACTCAACCCCTGCCAATTTGGATTCAGGCCTAATAAAAATACTAATGATGCTATTATACACATGCTAGAACATATATACACTGCAATAGAGAAAAAAGAAGTCCCACTGGGGATTTCATTGACTTACGTAAAGCTTTTGATACAGTTGACCATGACTTGCTCCACGTAAAATTATCACACTATGGTATAAGAGGGCACTCCCTCAACTACCTCAAGTCATACCTCAGCAACAGAAGCCATATGTGTACGCAAATGGGGCAAACTCTTCTGCACAACCAATTACAGTTG